TTCTGCAGAGTTTTCCATTGATTTCAATGGGGAGGGGCGTTCTTGGAGCGTTTTTTTCTTACCACACCAAACCTGCAGGGGGCGCTATGTACTGCGGGGTCTGGGGGATGTTTCTTCTTGTTAGAATGGAATCCGGGAGGGAAATGTCATCTGCAGAACATTTCATACTCTGCTCTAGATTTATAAATGTCAGCGACGTGCGATGATGATTGACACCCCCTTACCCAGATAATGGGGACTTGTAATCTGACAGATTCACACAGGAATTGTTCATTGCTGAAGGAACCCCGAGAAACCTTTGGAGGAACCCTGCCTGAGAAAGGCTGGACTAGGCAGTCATATATTTCTGTCCCCCTTGGTGGGAGTGGAGGTGACCCCTCTATAAGGATCTACAGTCCATACACACCCAGCACAAGGCCGGGGTCACACTACCAGACGCTTCTCGGGGCTGCAGTTCCTCTGAGCTCCACAAGGTGGGGATCTCACTTCTACCCAGACAGGAAGTCTCTATGGAAGACAGGAAGTGATGTCAGGTACAGACAGGAAGTCTACATGGAAGACAGGAAGTAATTTCATGTACAGTCAGGACATAGGAGACGTTGATGAAAGTGGCAGCAGAGGAGGTAATAAGATGTTATGTTCTATTTACACCCAGTAACCCCCGTCATGTCCGTCCTCTTCCTCCATAGTCACGTCCGTCCTCTTCCCATAGTCACGTCCGTCCCTTCTTCCTCCATAGTCACGTCCGTCCCTTCCTCCATGGTCACTGTCCGTCCTCTTCCTCCATGGTCACGTCCGTCCTTCCTCCATAGTCACGTCCGTCCTCTTCCTCCATGGTCACGTCCGTCCTCTTCCTCCATGGTCACGTCCGTCTCTTCCTCACGTTCCTTCCTCCATGGTCACGTCCGTCCTCTTCCTCCATGGTCACGTCCGTCCTCTTCCTCCATGGTCACGTCCGTCCTCTTCCTCCATGGTCACGTCCGTCCTCTTCCTCCATGGTCACGTCCGTCCTCTTCCTCCATAGTCACGTCCGTCCTCTTCCTCCTCCTTCCTCCATAGTCACGTCCGTCCTCTTCCTCCATAGTCATGTCCGTCCTCTTCCTCCATAGTCACTGTGACGTCTTTTATCTCCAGCAGATGATGATACACACATATATAGTGTGGGAACCCAGATGAACCCCTTCAGGGGCACAACATTCCCCCACTTCCGGGGCCGGAACATTCTCCTCATTGTGGAGATAAATTCTAGTAATATGGTCCTCTAAACAAACAGCACTGACAATAAATAGACAAGACAAGGACCATCCTGACCATACATGGCCTACAAAGGGCAATGATGACACTACACAGGCAGCCAATGGGCAATCATTACACTATGCAGCCAACACAATGATGGAGTGCCGGGGTCAGGAGTATGGAGCATAGAGCCCCTTACATTGCTGCTCAGGAGGAAGGAAACATTCCCCAGCCGGCCATGAAGAATATGTTCCATCATTGGTGTCAGAGGGAGGAACATACTGAGGGGTCTGAGGGAAGTAGAGGAGCTGAGGGGTCTCTCAGGGGTTACAGAGGAAGGAAGACTTTGGGCCCCTTGGAGGGTGGTGGAGTTCAAGTTCTCTGAGGGGGTAGAGTAGCTGAAGGACTTTGGGTCCTTGATAGGAGATCTCTGAGAGAAGAGGAGGTAGTAGGGCTCAGGGAGTCACTGAGTTAGGGAGGGGCTGTTGGTCTATGATGGTTGTCCTACCTAACTTTCAGACCTCCTTACAGAACTCCAGCCATGAAAAGAAGGCAACCTTCACCTTCTTACCATCTCACTGGTCAAATAATTTTTTCAAAATTCTAAATGGAATGAAGGACAGTTCTTCACCCCTTGGTGGCAGGGCCAGAGCTAGCTGGTCTTATATGGGGGTGCAGTAAAAATGTCAGGGGGGCAGAGGATAGGAGGGCAGCATGCAAAATTAGGGATCAGTAGCAGAGTGTACTGGGGGTCAGTAGGGCAGAGGACAAGAATTATCAGAGCAAAGGGCAGAGATCAGCAGTTGTAGGGCAGTGTACAGGGGTCATCAGGGCAGAGGACGGTCAGTCAGCAGAGTGGAGGACAGAGGTCAGTGTGATGGAGATGGAGGGGGAAGAGAAGAAGGAAGGAGATGGAGGGGGAAGAGAAGAAGGAGGGAGATGGAGGGGGAAGAGAAGAAGGAAGGAGATGGAGGGGGAAGAGAAGGAGATGGAGGGGGAAGAGAAGAAGGAGAAAGATGGAGGGGGAAGAGAAGAAGGAAGGAGTTGGAGGGGGAAGAGAAGAAGGAAGGAGATGGAGGGGGAAGAGAAGAAGGAGGGAGATGGAGGGGGAAGAGAAGAAGGAAGGAGATGGAGGGGGAAGAGAAGAGAGATGGAGGGGGAAAAGAAGAGAGATGGAGGGGGAAGAGAAGAAGGAGGTAGATGGAGGGGGAAGAGAAGAAGGAAGGAGATGGAGGGGGAAGAGAAGAAGGAAGGAGATGGAGGGGGAAGAGAAGAAGGAGGGAGATGGAGGGGGAAGAGAAGAAGGAGGGAGATGGAGGGGAAGAGAAGAAGGAAGGAGATGGAGGGGGAAGAGAAGAGAGATGGAGGGGGAAAGAGAAGAGAGATGGAGGGGGAAGAGAAGAGAGATGGAGGGGGAAGAGAAGAAGGAGGGAGATGGAGGGGGAGGAGAGAAGAAGGAGGGAGATGGAGGGGGAAGAGAAGAAGGAGGGAGATGGAGGGGGAAGAGAAGAAGGAAGGAAATTGAGGGGGAAGAGAAGAAGGAAGGAGATGGAGGGGGAAGAGAAGAAGGAGGGAGATGAGAGGGGGGAAGAGAAGAAGGAGGGAGATGGAGGGGAAGAGAAGAAGGAGGGGAGATGGAGGGCGAAGAGAAGAAGGAAGGAGATGGAGGGGGAAGAGAAGAAGGAGGGAGATGGAGGGGGAAGAGAAGAAGGAAAGGAGATGGAGTGGGAAGAGAAGAAGGAGGGAGATGGAGAGGGAAGAGAAGAAGGAAGGAGATGGAGAGGGAAGAGAAGAAGGAAGGAGATGGAGGGGGAAGAGAAGAAGGAGGGAGATGGAGGGGGAAGAGAAGAAGGAGGGAGATGGAGGGGGAAGAGAAGAAGGAGGGAGATGGAGGGGGAAGAGAAGAAGGAGGGAGATGGAGGGGGAAGAGAAGGAGGGAGATGGATAGAGTCCAGGTGTAGTGCAGAGCTCAGGTCACTCTCCTAGGTTGGTCTCTGCAGGCTCAGGCAGAGGAATCTATCTTGCAGCCATGATGTAGTTGTCAGCTGCAGTGTTTGAAATTTCCTGCTCACACATCTTCTCAGGCTCAGCACTGGTTAAGAGTTGGAGTGTGGGTGGGGCAGACAGGAGGAGAGGGGTGGGAGAAGGCAGTGTACACCATCTCCTCTCTCCTCTCCATGCAGGGAAGGGGGAAGTGTGCTGTCTGGGCTATGTGAGGCACTGCAGACAGCTTCTTTTGGATAAAGTCTGCCGGGGGGGGCACAGCTGAAATTTGGTTGGGCATAGCCCACCCCAGCACCCCCCTAGATCCGGGCATGATTAGTGAGCACTTTTTTTTAAAGGAGGTCTGTATGCTCAGCATAGACTAAAAGGTAGTCAGGGGTCAGTGCTATACATCTTCCGGAGACACTCCAATACCTTCCCATGACACAGGCTCTGGCAGTGCCCGGTGCTGGAATTCAGAGCCCCAGGAACCCACCACCACTCTGTACAATGTCCTGGATACTACAGTATATTTAGCAACCAAAGGTCTTCCCCCATTGTCCTCCTCCTACCCACACTGAGCTGCCATTGGAGGGAAAAGAACAGACTCCTCTCCCACAGCACCATCTTCCTGCTATCCAATCTAATCCTTTCTCTTACTGCAGAGAGTGACATCACTCTTGTCAATCAGCAGGCTGCTGGAAATTGAAGTTTTGCAGCTGGAGTTCTGGCAATTATCCTGATTATCCAGCAACTCCAGCCAAAAGTCATCAAGTTCCCCTTCCTGGACCTCATGATGAGCCGACATTGACCTCACAGCACTGCCTCAGAGCAAACAAGTCATAGGAAGGATCATATTTATCATTCCTTGTCTGCAGATCTAAGACTCATCAAAACCAGTTCAGAGACCAAACAAACCCAACAGAGAAAAGGGGATTTCTGATTCAGCAGGACAAGAGGGTCCCGGGACCTCCAAAATGTAATAAATATTTAACAGTCCCGACTAAATATCTTCCCATGATTGTAGTAGTTCTCCAATTCGTCCAATGTCCAGCAACCCTCCTCCTATTCCCCCCTCACATCCACATCCTATTTATTGTGTGACCAATACCATCCAAATCATTCTTACTTTCATTTCCCAAAGTTATCCGTCTACAAGGAGACCTGTATAGATCACATGATGGCACCAATGAGGATGGAGGAGGACCGGAGTCACATGACTGAGAAGATACTAAACCTCACCCTGGAGATCATCTACCTGCTGACCGGAGAGGTGAGGAGGATTCTGGGAGGTCACATGACATCACTCTCATCTCTATTAATAAAACACAGACCTGACCGGAGAGGTGAGGAGGATTCTGGGAGGTCACATGACATCACACTTATCTATTAATAAAACACAGACCTGACCGGAGAGGTGAGGAGGATTCTGGGAGGTCACATGACATCACACTCATCTCTAGTAATAAAACACAGACCTGACCGGAGAGGTGAGGAGGATTCTGGGAGGTCACATGACATCACTTATCTCTATTAATAAAACACAGACCTGACTGGAGAGGTGAGGAGGATTCTGGGAGGTCACCTGACATCACTCATCTTTAGTAAAAAAACACAGATCTGACCGGAGAGGTGAGGAGGATTCTGGGATGTTACATGACATCACTCTTATCTCTATTAATAAAACACAGACCTGACCGGAGAGGTGAGGAGGATTCTGGGAGTCTAACATGATATTCCTATTGGTTCCTCAATACAGAGATTTCCTCTTCTGAAGTCAGGTGATCATATGACCATCACAGTGCCTCCATGTGACTCCCTAAAACCTGAGAGACACAACATGCAGAAGATTCTAGAAGTCACCAAGAAGATGATGGAGCTGCTGACAGGAGAGGTGAGCGGTGCCGGGAATTCTGGGACATTCTCCAGTAACAGACAAGGGATGTGTCTGGATGGTGACTGTATCATTGTGTGTGTCAGGTTCCTATAAGGTGTCAGGGTGTCACTGTCTATTTCTCCATGGAGGAGTGGGAGTATTTAGAAGGACACAAGGATCTCTACAAGGACGTCATGATGGACAATCAGCCACCCCACCACATCACCGATAGATAAGAACAGACTTTAGTGGGACGGAACATCTAAAACATGGACTTGTGAACACAATGTGTGGATTTTTTATGTGATGTCACAATAATAAAGCTCATATTTTCCAGGTGACCTTTTCTATCTTTCTCCTGGTTTAGGGTGAAGATCTGATAGATATAAAAGTTGAGGTGAAAGCAGAAGAAGAAGAGGCGTATGTGAGGGATGATCAGCAGTCTATGGAGGAGGATGGAATAACGGGACATTTATAGAGGAGGACACTCCTACAGAGATCAGCACAGGTGGGTCATGAACACTAAATCCATTCCTCCACCCATACTGCTCACTGAGTGGTCCAGAGTAGGGCGGGGACTGGGTGATATCAGCCTGTAATCCCCTGGTCACTTTCCTGAGCTGTGTTCCCCGTCCTGTATTCCTGGATTTCTCTCTCGGATAATCTTCCTTCTCTGTGCTGCAGACACAATTTATGTATCTAGACTGGATTTATGGAGGTTCTGGGGTTCAGCTGGCAGCAAAATGTTGATGTTCACCATAGACGTTACTAGACCTGGGCACCTGGGGTGTGTGATTTGGGTCTTCTTCCCCATGCCCGGGTCTAGTAAGATCTCTGACAGAACAATTCTCCCAGGGTTTCTTGCTCTGTGGTCTGCTGGCTGTGCCGGGTGGAGGGATATGTCTGTAGTGTCTCAGACCCAAGTCACTGAGTGCAGTCTCAGGAGATGGGAGGCAGCGGTGTGGGATCTCTGCAACTTGTCTACAGTAAACATTTAAGCTTCCACTGATTACTGAATACCAATATTATATGAGCCCTGACCCTTGTATACTCTATGTTGTACATTACATCCTCCTGACCCCTGCACTGTATACTATACTTACTGGCTGAGTGTTCCTGCGTCACCGGTTGTTTTAGATAGGGGAATGCAGTGTGTCACCCACCGGCACTGCTATCATATATCACATAATTACGTGCGGATTCTCTTTTTTGTGTTTCCGCGCCATTTTAAGATGTGATAAAAATAATATTTCCTTCCTCTGCGCTAGCAGGAGCAATTTAAAATCGTATGATTGTGGATTGGTATCACCAAGTATGGTACTTTTATTCATGTATGATAGATATTAATGGTGATAACAGATCTTCTATACGTACATTAAGTTTATCGTTATATGGAGACCACTAAAAGACCATAGAGGATTATTACAGAAGCGAAAAGAGTAGTGTATAGGAGGAGTTCAATACCGTGGGTGCCATATGAGTTATTGTTTGGTTTCTTCAAGAGATCAGGCCGATTGATCTTCAATTCTTGGTTTATATCCTGGTTTAATTTAGGGGATGGGTGGGTTGGACTGCGAGAACCCGAGCCCATCCACACCCAACACGTCTGACCACTTTGTTTGTGGGGCGTCTGCCCCTGTGGGCTGGTTCATGTCGTTAAAGCATGGACTAAGATCATTACTAAAAAAGTGAAGGTGCATTTGTACTAAATACTTGGTTTTTGTGGCAGCATGGCGATGAGTGATAGAGGGGGGTGGGGACCCTCTACCTCAAAGTATGGTAATTCTCCCCATCACTGTCCCTACCGTGAGAGATGAATAACAAGTTCTGGTTGTTTCCGTGTTCACCGGGGGGAGTACTCCTGACTAATGGTCCATGGAATAAAGAGATAAAAAGTGGTACATGGTAGGAGGAACATTGGAGGAGGGCCCATTTTTCCTTAGTTCCCTTTGTAGGTGGAATTGAGTATAGTGAGGTGCCCCCTACGTTGGATGTTTCAGTTAGTACCATATGCAGCCTAGTTGATTGGTTGGTGGATGTCCACTGGATTGGTGGGGAACCAATTCATGGATTCGCTGTTCTATGTTTACTTTCCTCGTTTTGTCTTTGTTTTTTTAGGAGACCATGTCCGGGAGGTGTTTGTAGTGGTAATTAACGCGTGCGGTCCGAGGATTTCTCACTATTACTCCTAGACTGTGATAGCATAGAAATGAGGACATCACGGACGAGTTATAGGTGTCAGCAGTAAGAGGAAAAACCCGGCTCCCTCCAATGTCCAATTAGGGGGATATGTGCCGGCACCCTACACCTTGGTATAAAAGGACCATTCGGAATGTCCTCGTAATCCTGAGGAACTCTACTAAATGTACTGTGTGGGTACCAATAAGGGGTGGAATGGTCCATCCTTCTCAACACGGGAATGAGCGTGTCTCTCTTAACTGAGTGCTTAGAAGGTTCCAATCTAACTAAATCTGGTCTGTAATATGCATAAAAGATCTCGACAAAAAGGTGTTGATAGGACAGTTAGTTGTGGTGGGTCGAAAAGGGGTAGGGGAGAAAGCCGTGATATTTCCTGTCGCTGAGGTTCGGAGAAGAGTGTATTTCATTGATAGGTGCCCAACGTTTTCACATCATCAGAGATCTCATACGGGGGAGAAGCCGTTGTATTGCAGTTTCTGAGGTGAGTGGTGAAATTGATTATGCTACGAGAATGGTGTTGCCTCTTTGATGTCTTTACACACATTAAATGGTTAAGATGTTGAGGTGGATTGGTGATGTGAGCCAAGATCGCTGACACAAAGGTGTAGATAAGCTCGTATCTCCTGTCTTGATTTGCGAGGAAATTGTTTTTTTCTGTACGAGTTAGAAGTCCGGATCGATTGAACATCACAGTTCATCTATCTCACGACGGGGATAACCGTATTCCTCTGTCCTGAGTGTCGAAGGAGCTTTTTTGTTGCAGTGAATGTCAATCTTCACACAGAGATCGACGCCAACAGGTGAGAAGCCACATTCCCTGACCTCGAGTGTGGGAATGTATATTTCAGTTTGTAAAGTCCAGTCTTTACACACATCAAAGATGATCTCATCGAGATGCAGGGATAAGCCATTATTCCTGTCCTATAGTGCGGTAAATATCGTTTATTCAGGAAAGAAGTCCAGTTTTTACGACACATCAAAGATCTCGACACAGGGGAAAAAAGTTCCGTATATCCCTGGTCCAGAGTGCGGGAGAATGTTTTTCACAGGAAATCCAAGTCTTAACCAAACAAATCAGAAGTGATCTTGCGGGAACTTAGCGTGGGGTGGGAGCGAGCTGTATTCCTGTCACCTTGATGTAGGTAAAATGTTTTTATAGATAAGGTCCCATCTCGCATTGGGAGATGGTGTACATGATAGATCATCTTACACGGGGAGAAAGCCGATATTCCTGTGCCTGCGTTTAGTATAAAAGATGTTTTTTGCTAGAGGTTACATACAACCCTAACTGTTTCACTATAGCGGCATGAATGATCACCCACGAGGGATAAAGAAAAAGGCCACTTGCTATGTCCTTGGGCGAGGGAAATGTATTGACAGCCTGTCACTTGAAGTCCTGTCTTGGCTCTGTGACGATCATGTATGTTCAGCCTGAAGGGACTAGCAACCCTGGATTGGAAATAGATAGTGCTTTTTGAGTGCGGAAAATGTCTTCTATGGATTGAAATGTTGCTACGGTCGCTCACCAGCATCTGTCATAAGTTGGTGAGAAACAAGCACAACAAACCTGATAAGACACCTCAGATATAACTTCCATGGCTGATCTTCAATCATGGAATAAATCAGTTCATAAGGAGATCAGAAAGATGATCCCCATAATGGAGACATGCATGAAGTGGTGTGACCGCTGAAAATTGGGCAGTGTGGATCAGTCCAATTAGATATCCGAAGGAATTAAACAAATGGAGTCCTGCCACAGTGATTTGCTGAGTACATTTTGTGTCTTGTGTTGAGAATATTTTTCACAACACTTAGAGGGGTCTGTTTAAGGAGAAAAGAAAATAATTTCTACCTTACCATAATCGCAAAAGTCCAATGTAAACATTGTACCTCAAGAATTGTATTTGTATCTTTTTATCACGTTAAGAAATAACAAATAGATATTTATTTTGGTTGTAAATTAAACACCACAGAAGAGGTGGGGATAGATTACTTTTTAAATCTTCCTAATATAGTTGTCAGCTTGTTTTTTACAAATAAATCGTCTTTCCTTATATATTGTTAGTGACAAAGGTTGAATTCATGTCTGCTTCAACATTTCTTTGGATACAATTAGACCACCAATCGAACCGTGTCTATGATTCGTAGGTGTGGTAGGTGAGAGTTGATAAGTCAACCTGAACAAACTAGGGAATATGGGAATGTCTGCAAATCCAGTCAGTCTGATGACGGCAGAAATCTCATTTCAGGGGAATCATAAAACAGAACGACCAGAACGGGTACATAATGTCGAGAAACTTTTTCTGTGAGAAATAAGTCCCTTATTACAATTACATGGAAAATCAGGTCAGGATCAGTAAAGAAGTGGATAGTATCCCTTTACTAATTCTCTGGACAAGGTAACGAAATGCCTAAGTGTGACCATCCCAGTTCTGTATATTGTGATAATTGTGTATAGATAAATAACGCAATAATTTTTGCAGAAAATTTATATATATATAATAATATAAATCAGTACAAAATGTGAGATGAAATATTCTGCACAAGTTTGATGAATAGAATCATGAAACTAATACAATATAGACAGTACACTGAATCTATTACCTACGAATAATGGGGAGACATACAATCCGGAGCATTTCTTATCCACAAATATTAAATTGAATTACAGTCCTAAGCTGGTCTGGAAAGTCGAGTGTAAAGAAATCCATAACTCAGTAAACAATTGACAACAGATATACAAATCGTGATGGTCCCCGCGTTTGAGCCGCTTGATCTCTGCGCGGGTACAGGGGGCCAGATCAAGTCAACGTGCTGCGATAATATCGATTGTTCCTGGTGTTTGTAAAGTAGGTGAGCCATGTAATACAGAAAGACAAATTGGATGGTAGAGTGGTGTGGGACGCGAACGCCCGGGGGCCACGATCGTGATGGGTCCAGCCAATGATGGCAGAGAATAATAAAAATTGGAATTGCCTGACCTAGGAAGCACGGTGGGCTGACATTCTCATTGGTGGTGCAGTCCTATATACTA